GAAAGAACTTTCTTCGTATTTCATGTCAGAAATTTCGCGCACATTTTGATCCTATCCTCTGTTATGTTATTAGCCTTAAATTGGTTGTGTTGCATTGCTAAAAAACTTATATTATAAATTTTTAATGTTAAAAATTTATAACTTTTTTATTCTTAATATTTTTATTATATGTATTTTCATAGTTTATCTTTTCAAAATATCATGATATTTTTTTTGATAAAATTACTGATTTTATTATTAGAAAACCCTCATGCCATTAAAAAAATTATTTTGTAGATACCAGCTATTAATTACATAACCTACAATGATCACTTGTTTTATCATATATTATTTATTATTATTTATCAACCTTTTAAACTTTTTATATTAAATTACAAGATACATTGAGTATAGAAATGAATATGGTTATTTTAACTAAGAAATTAATCAGATCTGTTCCACATTATGATTAATCCTTCCTTGTAGTGCCATATATTGATGAAAAATTGAATGTCTTGCATTGTTCAAGCTGTTGCTTAATATGCTGGCAAGATAGCGCAAGGTTCAATTGCAGGTGTTACAGCAGAATACAATCAGGAAGAAATTCATGCTTCTATTAAGGTCGATGTTGACTCAAAATTACCAGTGAGTTCTGGATTTAGTTCTCAGCTCTTACTTGTAAACTTAAAATCATGTTCTGTTACTTCACTATTATTTTATCTGATCTCTTTCGCTTTATGGAAGATTTCACAACCTTTACATTGAGGATCGCCGACCATGAAGGATACATTTTCACTGAAATTGCCAGATCATAGCTCTAAAAGGTATGGACTGTTTTTGTGCTTTACCTGAGTAAGATTCTGAAGCTAAGGTTCCTAAATTCAATCACATTGAATACTGTATGATTCTCCAACGCGGAAAGAAATGACAAAATTCCTGTTTCCTCGCATAATGTACTTTTCCTTACTCAAATGATCTGATGCATTGAGAAAACATATGCAAATTAAACAAAAATTTGTCATTTTATCTCGTCTTACCCAAATTGATTGGAAATGTAGAAGTTTAATCACCTTTTCTTCTGGTCCACTGCAGGTGCAGCTTCTAGTTCCGGATAAAGTAGAATACTTCTACAAAAATGCTGCTTTATCTACGAGACTTCCTTCAAACAGCCGCCATATAATTCAGCTTTCTGCAACTTTTGGTGCTCCACACCTTGCATTTGGTATGGAGACGCTATACAGTCTTGCTTCGAAGAGATTTCACGAATTTAACGCAGGCATTAGAGTGATAAAACCAAATTTTGAGGGATCAATTACTTCGGAAGTTATTTTACCTGCACTGGTGACAAATTGGACCGACTTTCCTAGTTAAACTAGCAACATATTATACGTTAAATAACCTGCTAATAGTCATCATGCTTATGGCTTGTGTCTGTTGTTATTATCTATACTTGCCTAAACAGGGAAGGAGACTTACTGCAACTCATTCTCTCTAAACTTCTCAGGACAAACAAGGTTAACTTCCTAAGGGCATCATATGCTCATTATTTCGATCATGAGAAGAAAGTTGCAGAAGCAGCAGTGGTCTCTCGGATGCTTTCAGAAAAGTAGAATGTTCTTGTAGTTGGAGGAACATGGACAATGGTTGATAAAACGACAGTTAAGACAAGGTTTGACAGTTGTGGGAAGCTGGTTACTCTCCTGCATCATAAAATCAAACCCAAGACATGCATTAAAATTACTAGTGAATTTGACCCCAAAGCCCTTGACAGGATTCCCGTAATCAGATATGGTCTCTCTCTCTCGTAATCTGAAAGGTTTATCCATCTTCAGTTGTGTGGTCCAGCTGATGGAATTCTGATCGTTCAATACCTTCTGCTGGTGCTTCGAAAGAAAGGCACACAAATTCACTGCTTTTACCATGTCCATAACATATATATTTACTTGAGCAGCTAGTCTGCCTTGTGCACTACAAAGGCACACTTTTTTCAAGCAATCATATTTCTGAAACAAGTTCATTTGCTTAAAGTGGATCTTGGTTTTCTACTCTATTTCGGAGCCAAGTTAATGTGTGTGCGCCAATACCATAGGCTGGAACAAGCCACATTCACCAAGCCATCTCATATTATCGCTAAGCATCATTAACCCACATGGTGTGGATATCATCCAACATAAGGCAGATAAGCTAAAAAAACAGTAATAATAATAATCTGAAAAGTTATCCACCAATCGATCTGAAGCCAATAGCTTCTCTATCATCTGCCGAACTTGTTTCCAAGGATATATTAACTACGAGGGAAGCGTTTCCTTGATATAAATTGAAACAACATACTTTTTATGCAAGTTCTTACTGCAAACACACCATACAGTCATAATTTGAGTAAACTTTTTCAGAAAGTGAAGACAAATTTCATATGACCATCAAACAACATGGTGATGAAACAACTTATTTCCCCAATAAACTACAGAGATAAGACTGTTAAGAGCACCTATGGAATTTGTGCAGAGCACATCAAACCACAAGGCGATGATGGATAACAAATAAACAACTTATTGATGTTAAACCCACTAATCAAACACAATAACTTATTGATGTTAAACCCACTAATCAAACACAATAACTATGAAATAAGAAACAAACAACAAAATATCTTCTAAATGAGAAATAAAACATAACATAGCTACTAAATGAGAGTTAAGCATTGAAAACAGAATTGTGCAGAACAAAAGGACCACGGATAATATTATCTATGAAGCTAAACACTCCAAACTCAGTGCTGATTATGAAACCTAAACCAAAAAGGAAGAGCTAACAAGATCACTTGTTACTTGAACCATGAAACCCCTCTACATGTATCTTCTCGACCACTCTAATCCTTGTCAGCTTTAAAAGCTGACAGCATTAACTTTGCTTGCTCTCGTATCAATTCATTCCTCTTCAAAAACAACTCCAATTCAGCTATATGCAACTTCCTCCACTTCGCCTCCATCTCTGCCTTCTTCATTCCATGCGCAAAATCCAATCCATTTCTCACCACATAATCATCCATTTTTCCACCACTCACACTTGCATCAAACTTCAAAACCTTTTTGACACTTGAATCTCTCTCCATCTCAACTTCCATTCTCTCCTCCTCCTCCACATCCATACCCAACTCAGCCTTCAATGCCTCTAGTTTCTTAGCATTCCCTCTTTTATTATCATTACTATTATTGTTTTTCTTCCCGTTAGCTTTAATAGTCCCTTCACTGCCCCAAATATATTTCGACAAATCAAACCCCTTCTGATCATGCGGTTTGCTAAAAATCTTGCTTTCCCCTTTTTTCCCTTTCACATGATTCTCAAACTTCTTCCTTAACCTAGAAATCTTATCCTTCAATTGAGTCATAGACACATCAAAATGCAAAGACTTCTTAATAAAATCGAAAAACGCATTCATATCCTTTGATGGGTCATAACCTTTCTCTGCAATAAAATCAATTATACCTTGCAACAGCGCAATCTCATCCTCCTCGGTCCACAACCTTTGAAAGAGCTGTTTTTTGGAGTCCTCGGACTTCTCAGGCTCGGATTCCTTGCTCTTAGCCCGTTTCAAGTCTTTCGAATCGCGATCAGCCCCGTTACCCCTCTTCACAGCTGTTGATTTCTCCGGAGTGGCGGCTATAGCTGGTTTGGATCTGGACTTCTTGACCGCTGCTGCTTCCTTCGATGGGGTCTCCTCCATTGGTTTAGAGGTTATAGGCTTGACACTCTGGTCGGGTTCGGATTCAGATTCGGATTCTGACTCCGACCCAGAATCAGATTCGAGCTCAGATTCAGATTGTTGGGTGGTGGGCTCGGATTTTTCGGGGGCTGAGTTTTGGGTTCGGATGGTCTTGGTTTGTGGCTGTGGAGGAGAGGGGTGGCTCTGTTCATCATCAGATGCTTCTTCTTCACCACTGGAAGTTTCTTCCTCTTCTTCGGAGCTAGAAGCAGAAGGTGGATCTTCAACGGGAGGAGCACGTTTTGGTGCCATAGAGAAACAGGGAGGGATAGGGTTTTGTAAGAGAGTTTGATTAGCGGCGGCAGCGTGCCTTGGAGAGAAGAAAGAGAGTCTTCCCCAAGATGTTTTTAAACGAGGACAATAGAGTGTGCCTGTCGGTTTCCTTATCGTGGAATTTCTCACGGTGGGAGGACTTAATTTTTAACCATCCGAACGTTATTATTGTAATATGGAGTAGTAATGCTAGCTAACAGCCAATGAGATTCATTAATGTGTAATATTAGTATTATTAATATCATCAAGAGGAAACTAATTAGATTTTGTGATTTTTAAGAAATAATTATATCAATAATTACTTTGTAAGAGTATAGGCATTCACGCTCTCCAATGTAACTCCTTAATTATAAGGGCTAGCATGTAAGTTTTGTGAATAGCAATCCTTATATACAACGACAATACTTTTTGCCGTTTAATCTATTTTAAAAAACTACATTTGCACCGATCTCTTCCGGTTATATTTTCTATAAAACTCTCTCTTTCAACCATATGAAAATGATGGATGGAAATAATAGTTTTAGAGCTCCTTTTATATGTGATTATAGCCGTTGAAAATATGACCAGAGATTAGGCTGTAGCATTTGAATTTCAAATAAAACAAAAAAATAATCGATTCAAAAATTAATAGTAAAATAATAGTACTTTTTGAGATAGGAGAAAATCTTCTTGTTGAATGTGATTCTCTCTCTTATTAATGTCTATCGTTGAAATGGATTCTTTGAATAAGTGCTGACATTTAATCATGGAGAATTTTAAAATTTCTCATGGACAAATCGTGAGCGCAGAGAACACAGTAGATTTTAGATGTTTTGTATCAAAACAACTGTAGTTTTGAGATAAAAAAAAAAAAACTGTGATCTTTTGCTTTGATCATCGGAAACCCCGGCCTTTCTCACCTATGTCTTCTCTGTCTCCTGGGGTCACTGAAATTGGATACCATGTGATAGATACCTCAACATGAAAGAAGTGATTCCTACCATCAATTACTAGAAGCCTGCAAATAGCTGGATCCGTAGATAAGATGATAACATCATCAATACATCTCGAGGATGTTTCAATCAAGGAAGGAGAACGTTTTGATAATTGGACAACTTAACAACGATTCTTTTAGTATGCCAAGGATATCATCGGATCATTTTGTATATCATTCAAGATTGAGTGTTTTCCCAGATAATCTTAAAAACAGTAAAGCCAGTTATGCAAACAAAGTTATTTCACATCAGTACAGCGTTCTTCTATTTCTTTAAATTTCTATTCAAGTCCCATAAGGAACTTCATGGTTTTCTTAAGTGATCCACAGGTGCATATTGGAAAGGTGCAGAGTGCATCACGATCATTCCATAGGCCCTTCAGTTTTGTAAAATATGATCCGACAGACATGTTATCTTGCACAAATCATGAATCTCATTCTCAACATTGAATAGCTGGACCACGTTTCTATGTGCGAATCGTTCCTGCAGATAGAGCCACATTTGTCTAGCATTTTTGCAATTGATGACGCTTCTAGCAATTTCTTTGGACATTGATCCTAGCAGCCAAGTTTTAACCAAATTGTTGCACCGATTCCATCGTTGACATTCTTCCTGATTGCTCTCGCCTGGTTCTTTGATTGAACCATCTATGAGTCCAAGCTTATTCTTCACTGTCAAAGCCATGGTCATGTATTGTCTCCATGTGCTGTAATTATCTTCCACCAAGGCCTGCGGTACGAGGATGGCACCTGGCTGATCTGAGTGGTGAAGATAAAGTGGATGATTTGGATTATCCCATTTTGCAGATGAAGCCATGTCTTTTGTGAAGATTGGTTAAAATTTTGATGTTGTGATTGCTACGGTTCCCAGATGAGATGCTCTGATACCATAAAAACAGAATGATATGTAGAGAATCTGTTTTCATAATTAAGAAAGAAACAAGGATTACACTATAAATATATATAGTGCTGGCATTGTATCAAGATCCCACTCTATTGCCTATGATCAAGCTTGATTATTTACAGACAACTAGAGATTAATTTTCATGAATGACCACTTATTGTGGATTGATTTGCTTGACTAATTTGCTTGATTTCCTAAACTCGATTATTAATTTTCTGTAAGTTAATTTACCTACACTGATGAAAAATATGAACAATCATTTCTTAGTTAAACTCGCAACATGTCGTGAGATAAAAAGACCTGCTCAGTGTCAGCGTTAATAGAGATATCAACTGTGAATAGAATTAGAATAATAAAACAGAGCATCTGATGCTATTGGCAATTCATATCTCTATTATGCATGATTTCTGCTTGTGGTTGTTGTCATCCGTTGGTGCCCAAGAAATCATTCTC